TTTCCCCTTTTTATGAATTTCAACAAATTTAACTTTATATCAATATTTATCTATTGTCATTAGAAGGCAACATATAGACCATCTGTTACCATGGAAACAGGCCATATTCAAATTTCATTTTAAATCATCTGTCAGTGTCAATAAAGATAAACAAGTTTTACTTTCGTTTATGTTGCCTTCGTTTTTATTCCTATACAAATGCATTGAAAACGCCCTCATCGACCGGCTATGCGTTCTACCAAGCTTTGCTTATTTTTACGCTATAATAATACTTATGAAACAAAAAGCATTGACACGAATAAACAAATCTAAGATATAACATTATAGCATAATATACAGCTTATTTTTTGGCAACTTAGAAAAGAAGTATGCATGGAAAACATAACTGGGAGCTGCCCGGAAAATTTGAAATCTCTGTGCCTGATCGATCCATTTTTATGCCAAAATAACCAATGAATCATCTCAATTCTACAGCTGTGAATGCTCTAACATGTACAATTCGTTTTAATTTGCATTTATGCTGCATTTTAGACATGTTAAAAGCAAAATAAACGTATTTTGCCGTATATAAAAGTGAAAGAGTGAAACATTCTCTTCGTACATGAAAATTCATGTAAACAAATTCATGTAAACAAAGTACCGGCTTGGAGGTACCACTTTTAAAATGGGCTTGTCGCACTCTTTAAATTGATGTCACACTCACAAACCCTAGATATTTGTCTATTAAAATATATATTTTTTTTCAAATTATGAGTGATAGATATGCCAGAAAGTTGTAAGTCGATACGAAAATTGCCGTTAAACTTTTGTTTTTATTGCCGTTTCGCCAATTTTCGGCCGATTCTCACCTAACACCTATCACTCTATAGCTGTCATCCCCTACTTGATTTCTGTGGCATTTTCAAAATCGTATGGTCCATTCCAATGCGGGGAAAATGCAGCTAACTTCTCTGGATTTAGAACACCGGGTTAAATTTGGAGGTCACGCTCGTGTTCACGGCGCTTGCCAGGATTTTCAAATGTTTCAATTATTATTCTACCGTGTTGTCAAAACGGCTACTCGCAATGGGTTGCATTTTTCAGAAAATGACCATAAGATATAGAGCTAGAATTCATGATAATTTAAATTCTTTTTTGCTTTTAGTTTTGCTCACGTATTTTGTAGTTTTTGAAAGGGTAGCTGCCCACACCCACTTCTTCCGATGTCAAGTGACTGAAATCCCTAATACTGTAAAGGGGGTAATTATTCACTGGGTTTTAATTTAGCTTATTTCGCTGACTGGAAAAATGCGCTAAATTAAAACACAGTGAATATGTAAAATTTAGCATAGAACACATTATCTAAATGACAAAACCGTGAATTTAAAACCCACTGAATATGTCTAAAATGGTAAATCAGTGAAATTTAAACCCAGTGAAAATTAGTCATTTTACAGTATTAGCTGTACACCACATGGAATAGTACGATTGAGAG